TGAGGGCCAGCCAGGCTCTGCCACCAGAAAAGGCAGATCCAGAGGAAGATCAAACATGCAACCCTGTGCCCTGCTCAGGTCAAGCCCTCACCAGGTCCCTCCACCCTGTGGGCAAGCATTCAGTTCTCCTGGGCCCTGGTCTACCCAGCATAATTCATATGCATTCTCTCTTCGTATTCTCTCTCTCCTTCCCCCTCCTCCTCTCCCTCTCTCTCTCTTCCTTCCTCCTCCCCTCTCTCATTTCCACCTTTAAGACTGTGTCCTTTGAAATTAAAGCAGACTTAAAACACAAAACAAAACAAAGCAGGAAAAGGTTCTCTGGCTGTAACACTGAATTACCACTTTCTACTAACCCTTTCACACCCCAGTGCCTCCAAAGAGAGTCTCCTGGGGTTACCTGCCCTCCTCCACTCACAGCAGGACTTCTGAGCATCCCTCCCTTGCACTGGTTACTTCTGAACTCTGCTGGTGTCTGGTCAGTATCCCCTCTCTGCACCCCTCAGCTCTGGGTCTTTTCATCTCCCTGTTCAAATGGGTTCATCTGTCCCCAGAGCTTTAACCTCTCCCCGAGCCTGGGAAGTTCTACCTAACACTCCACTGGACTTGCAGCCCGTCTCCAGAATCCCGACTCCCTGCTAACGGCCTAGCTTCACCCAAAGGCGCCTAGAGGTTCTTCCACCTCCATATGTCCACACGGAATCCTTTTCTGGAAGGGATCTCCTGATCCTGCTGGATACAGTCACTCTCACTCTGACCACATGCCACCAGGAATGAACTGGGTGGCTCTCATTCCCTCCTGTTTCCACTGCCTGGATGAGACCCTTTCTCTCCTTGCTTGGATATGAACCCGGTCCACTCTGTTACCAGGTCCCTTTCTCACCTCCACCTCAATCTTCTAGCCCACCCTACCCCCAACCTTTCCCTGCTATGTATCTAAGGAGTCAGGATGCCCCAGATATCTGTACAACCTGTTCTCTAGCTGGCCTCACTATGTAGACCAGGCTGGCCTCAAACTCACTATGTAGACCAGGCTGGCCTCGAACTCAACAGAGATCTACCTGCTTCTGCCTCCTAAGCGCTGGGATTAAAGGTATGCACCACCATGCCAGGCATCTCAACCAATGCCAGTGAGATGAAGAGCTGGGTCTGGAGTCCTGTGACTCACGGCTGGCTCCAAAATGAAACAACGAAAAGCCAAGACCAGGTCCAGATGAACACTGTCAGGCATACCCAGAGCCATTCCAGGGCAGAAGACACAAGACTAAATGAGGGTGTTATTCAGAACTGGGAGTAATTAGCTCAGAGTTTGTACAATAGAGAGATGATTGCTTCCTTAGAGCTCACAGGGACAGCTTCACAGTGATCAAGTTTGACAGCTCCGTGATACAAGCAGTATCTGTGGCCTTTTCTGAAAGTCCCCAGGCTGAGCATTGCAGATTCCTCCACACAAAGCCTGGAGGGGAGATGATACTGCTGGTATCGAATGGGACAGGGAATCCGTGTATCTCCCCAGCACTACAAGCTTCCCTAGCCTTGGCGGCCAAATTCTCACACACAGGAATTCTGCTTGGGCATAATTCCCACTAAGACCACACCATTTCTCCCCACTGACTTTCTGCCTGTAAAGAAAGTTAAGAATTAGTCCATAGGGTAAAAAACAAAGTCATTAACTTTTTCTATTCTCTCTTTTTAAAGTGAATAATGCTATAGAGATTGGCATTTGCTTTAATGCCATTAAATGCCATTAAAACCATTACTATGAACTTCAAATTATAAACTGGACATTAGGCAGAATAGAGACTCAATTTCAAAACAAAATATTAATTTTCTCCTATTTAAATTCAGATTTTCTTCAATGTAGCATTTACTGAATGCCTATTGTAACCATCCACAAACTGGGTGTTTCCACAGTATCTTAATCAACTCTGGTCACATTTTTTAAGACGAGGGAACTGAGGATCCCAAAGAATAAGCAATGAATCTAGATAGCAGCACTAGGTAGAATTCGGGAGTCAAGTCCAGGGCTCCCGACTGTAGGCACTACGCTTATTCTACCGTCCTTTGGGAACGGGGAAGCCAATTAAAATGATCCTCCCAGGTGAAATATTATTTTCACAGTCTTGTAGAGTTTCACAAAAAATATCAAAGACAGTCACCCACTTTATACCAACTTTGCAAATAAGGATTTGTCAAACATTTCTCTCAAAGAATCTCCTTGATCATTACAAATTAAGTTAACATTACACTAGTGGAAGTGATCTGTAATTGTATTTTCCCTCACTAGCTAAGTCTCAGAAAATCTGAGGCTTCAAACAGGAGCTCAAGTGTGCGCGCGTGCGCGCGCGCACACACACACACACACACACACACACACACACACACACACACACACACGAACACATGCACTCAGAATTTTTTGAAACAGTCTCATGTAGCTCAGCGTAGCCTCAAAGTCACTATGTAGCTGAGGCTGACCTTGAACCCCTAATCTCCCTGTTTCTACCTCCTGATTCCTGGGATGACAGGCTTGTGCCACCTTGCCTGGAAAAAAAGAAAATTTTGCCCTTAGGTTCATTAACCAAAATATTTTACATAGTAATAGATGCCGACTTATTGTGGGGGCTGAATATTTCAACGGCTGTGTTCAGAAGCTCTCACAAAGGAACTAACAGCATTTAACATTTTTCCCCCTTTTTAAGGTCTACAGGCCCAAAACCTCCCCAAAGAAGGCTTCATGAGAGCTCTGGTCATTTTGCTGGACCAATTAAGGCAGCTGTAGAAAAACTTGACTATGACAACCTAGATAGGGCTGATAGATACTCAGGACAAGTGGCTGGGATTTTGTTGCTTATTAAATAGGCAAGCCAGTGTAGACTGAACAAAGGCAGGTTCGAGTTTTCACTCGGACTAAAGGGGCTCTGAGTGGCAAAGAGGAGGACCCCAGTAAGTGCCTGCTTGGGCACCCTGATGATAGTCTGAGCTGGAGGCATCTCATACCAGATGGCAACATGCCTAAGTCTGTCCTACGCTTCTCAGAAAGAGCAAGTGATTACTAAGACCTCAGCTGGCCACTTGGAATTTTAAATGGTGGATTTATAGTTAAGGGCCGGGCAGTGGTGGCACACGCCTTTAATCCCAGCACTTGGGAGGCAGAGGCAGGTGGATCTCTGTGAGTTCGAGGCCAGCCTGGTCTACAAAGCAAGTTCCAGGAAAGGCGAAAAGCCTTTTGTCTCGAAAAACAAAAACAAAAACAAAAAAAATGGGGATTTATAATTAAGACAAAATACCAGAACCAAGTTCCCGTGTGGCTCACCCACACTCAAACTGGGCAAAGGGGTCCACCTGAGACCACCAACCGTGCCTGTGAAATGGGAAGGAAGCCTTTCCTTGGCCTGAGGATATGGCTTATGCTACTGGTTCAAAGGCCAGTGTATAACTGCTGGGCTTCCTTTCCAGAGTGGCCTCTGGTGAGTTGGTATGTGAACTGTGGGGCACCAGCACTCATGCCGACACTTGGAAACACTTGGTGACCAAGTGGAATCTCTGGAGTGCTCAGGGCTGCAGACACACAGAACTGGGAAGGAGACATAAGCTTTAGTCACCTCCAAAGCTTTCAAAGGGATTTAAAAATAAATTTTGTACTCATCATGGGGAAAACAAACAAGGCATGGCTTCAAATCCATTCTCTCTTGGTAGGGCCTGTTATTCAAATGTGGTGACGGAGATAAACCTTCCCCCCCAAATGCCCTAAACCACTTGGCACTGGGAAAGTGAATACTAGCACAAACGTCCTCTGTTAAGGCGATTCCAGGATGTTATTTATTTACTAGAGGTCTGACTTCCCTTTGCCTAAGGTTCTGGAGGAGCCCGTATGACCCCAAGGATTCCATTAACTTCCAAAGGCATTTTATTTTTGGTGGGGGAAGACCTTGGAGGAGAGAGCAGACAACACCAAGTATTCCCAGACTCAAGAGCAAAGTGCAATACCCAGGGAGAAGAAGCGGCTGCCCCATCCCTTCTCCAGCAGAGGCAGCAGCAGTTTCCAGACAGAGGGTGAGGCTGCCTAGGAATCCACTTTCCCTCAAGGTGCACCTGCTAGTACCTGCTGGGCGGCGCCACCTGGGATATAAAGACCCACAGGGTTCCCGCCCTAAAGTGCATTATCGAGCTCACGTTAGACAGACAGCCTGGCCAGAAAAATGAGATTCCAAACATGAGTAACTCAAACCTCTGAACAAGGGCTCAGACAGGCACCTAGTCCTGGCTCAGCCATACGTCAGGCATGGGTCACTTAAACACACGCGAGCGTGAAACCAAATAAAAGCGGCGTATATTATATTTAATAGAAAAACGTGGTGAGCAGGTAGCCCAGGAGGAAGGAGGGAGCTGAGTTCTCTTAGTGTTGGATGCTTGTGGCCTCCCTCGAGACACAACTGCTAGGTGGGAATTCAGGCATGAATCTGATTGAAGGGGAATCCCTTAAGAAGGCATCTACCCCTGCCGGAGACTCCAACGTTCCCAGGGGCTCCACCATCCCGCAGGCCCAGATGTATCTTCAAATCCGACAGAGAACTGTAATTAATACAGTCTCGGCTGGGCACCGAGGTGGTGGTGGTGGTGGTGGTGGTGGTGGTGGTGGTGGTGGTGGTGGTGGTGGTGGTGGTGGTGGTGGTGGTGGTGGTGGTGGTGGTGTGTGCGTGTGTGGGAACAGTTAAAGATGAAGATCAAATTAAACCCTGCTTCTTTTCAAATGACCCCCGTCCACCTTCCAAGCCCCTTTGATCATTTTGGAGAAAGCAGGGACAGCAGCTCCCAGAGCACCGGAATGGGGGTTCCCGGCGAGCTTTGTTCCCCCGCGTGAAAGCAAAGCGCTCAGGTTGCTCTCAAGCTTGGGGTCCCAGGCCCCGGGGGACGCAGGCAGCGCGCGTCACGCCGAGCCCACCCGGCCGGGACACGCGGCCTGTCCCCCGGGCGCGCGCCTCGCCCCCCGCGCGGCTCACCTAGCAGCACGGCGGCCACGGTGGAGAGCAGCAGCCAGTGATTCCGCAGGAAGCGGCGCCAGTCGAATCCGGAGCTCGTGGGCTTCCCCATGGTGGGCATTGGCTCTAGCGGGGACTCCGGGAGCGTGGCGGATGCGGGATGCTGATGCTGGGCGCCGCGGGAACCCAGCGCACGGGCTGCTGTCAGCGCTGCCACCGCCGCTTGGGGACCGAGCACGGTGGTTTTGCGTGGCGGGCGCGCCCGGCTCCTCCCGCCGCCGCTCGCTGCAGCGCCGCGGCCAACCAGCGAGGCAGGGCGGAGCGTCCCGGTGGGGCGGCGCGCGTGGGGCGATCGGGTCCCTCTCCGTTCCGCGTGGAGGCTTCCCACCGGCGGAGCTGCTGATCTACTGCGATTCCACGCCAGCCTCCTTGGGGACACACAGCCCTGGCCCCGTGCGAAGGGAATCCACGTGCGGACGCGTTTCTGCTTTGGGTCCCAGGCCCCGGAGTCCCAAGGAGATGGGACACAGTGTGACTTTAGAGGAGGTCTGGGGAATTTTCCCACCGGGTCTCTGATACTCCCCGCGGGATTATTTAATTTTCGGACTCGCGGCTCAGACAGAATCTGCCAGGACCCAGGCTTGGTCGTACAGCCTAAGCGAGGGCGGTGGTCAACTGAACAGTTGCCCTCCTTAGGTGCCTTGCACAATTTAGCAATTGCACCCCTAGGACTTGCTCTGTGGCCACCAGTCGGTAATTAGGGCTTGGAACCAGGCCTGGCTGGTGTGGGAAGGTGGGCGGGCCCATCCCATACCCTAGGCCAAATGCCTTACAGGATGTAGTTGGAGAATCTGGGTTAGTGTGGCCACACACTGCACTAACTGAATTTCTCTTTTTCTTTTCACCCTCACTTAAGCAGACTCTTTACGTGCCCTTAGCATATCACCACCGTAACTCAGCGAGCCCTGTACCTTTTTGACATGACGGAGTTTACTCTCTAGTTGGGTGTCGGGGGAATCGCCTCATCTAGATTACTTGATCGCTAGAACCCCATTCCACAATTAGAGACTCATTCCTTTGGTTTAAACTGATTTTGGAAAAAACAAAAAACAACCTTCAAAATACAGTGGATTAGGCTTTATTAACCATGTGCATTATAGTATGAAAGATCACTTCCTTTCCAGGGGTTAAAGTTCAAAAAAGTCAGGAGAGGGCAACTCAAGATCATGGGTGCCCAGGCTAGAGCTGGAAATAAAAATGGCAGAAGAAAGCAAACTATCAAGAAAAAGAATCATTCCACAGTTAACAAATAAATAAATAAAAATAATAATAATAATAAAAAAGGACAAACTCAAATGCCCAATGTAGAACATGAAGCCATATGTAGTCTACATAAAGGAAATTAATGGAGTCCTTTAGTACCATGGGGTAGGAAAAAAAGTTAAAAACTATATGTGTAATTTGATCAGATGTATGTAAAAATAAGTCTATAAAACAGAGCTGTGGGATTAGAAAAGACCCGGAGAAATATGCTGGGATTCCTCAGCGGTACACCACATTTTCATGTTTCCCCTTCTCGGTGTCCTGTGGATTGGAAATGTCCATCATAGCTGTACTGTCCATCCAGTGTACTGTCTGTATTTATAAAACCAGCCCACCCTGGAGATGGGAAGCAGGGGAGGGATCTGAGATGGACCTTCTCTACCTCACAGTCTTTGTTTGTGGGGAGGAACTCGCTTTCAATCCCTGCATTGCTTGCTTACTAGTGAGGTGGCCTTGAACCTGTTCTTAATGCTGCTGTCTCAGTTCATCTGTGACATGGATGCTCAGACACTCCTGGGGTTTTGTGGAAGTTATGAGAATCAAACAAGATGCTTGCCTTACCTTCATCGTGTGGGTGGGGAAACCTAGGCACAATCGAGTTAAGAACTATGCACAAGTTCTCTGTGTTGAGAGGAGGAGGAGGGGGAGGAGGAGGAGAAGGAGGAGCAGCAGCAGCAGGGATTGAAGTGGGAAGCCTGCCTCCATACCTAGTCATTGAACTAATTCCTCCTGTGTAGGGGGCACACAGAGCTCTGATGGGGAAGTTGTTCTTGAATAACTGGTTTGCTTAACTCAAGGTCCTTAAGGATACATGTCCACTTGCAGAAGAAAGTTGGGTATCTGAATGAGCTCTCCTCAAGCCAACAGCAAGTCCATTTTATGGGAGCAGGGAGTGAACTTCTGAATTCATTATCCCGTGACTGGCATCTCATACTTTGGGATTTCTCAGCCTAAACCAAGAAATGCTGGAGGCAAGTACTAGAGAGAGGAGTTGGAGATATCTAATGTGTGCCATCTATCTATCTATCTATCTATCTATCTACCTATCTATCTATCTATCTATCATCTATTTATCTATCTATCTGTAGCTATCTATCTCTATCTATCTATCCATCCCTCCATCTTTCTATCTCTATCTATCTCTATCTATATATCTATCTATCCATCTATCTATCTCACTAACCTATCTTATCTTGTAGTCATGAACGCAAATGATGTCAGATGGGATGAGAATGGAGAGCCATTTCCCCTGTATGTATCACATCAGTGCCTGAAAGATGACTTTCCTGTGGTACGAGCCTGAAATCAAGGAGAAAGAACCAGTAGAGATGTTTTTCTACAATAAATGAAAACACCTCCCTTTTATTCCTAAGTCTATCTAATTCCTTGATCCAGAGAAATCTTTGTCTGGTTTTCATTACTTAAATTTCTCTAATGTGATGACACCTCCTTCTTCTTCTAAGAAACTGGTGTTCCTTATTGTTTTTGTTTTTCCTTTTAAACATTGACTTATGGAATAACTAGTTAGCGATTAAAGAAAAGAGACTTTGGCTTTGCCACACAAGGTTAAGCAGCAGGTGACATCCTGGCCTTTTATATCAATGGGGACAGAAATGAAAAAGACACCCGGAAACCAAAGGCCACCTCTCGAGGGCCAGCCCCTTTGGGAGTGATGTGATGGCTGCAGTTCCCCCAATACAAGGCAAATATGGCTGCATGGTGTCACACAGCAGTGATGGAGGAGACCACAAGCACACACGTGACCTTCAGTTTCTAAGGTGACCTCCCGTGAATGTAGGGTCTGAGGACACTGTATCAGATGCCATCTGATACAGGACAGTGTATCAGATGCCCTTTGGTATGGGTTTCTCTTTATCTTCTGATCTGAATCCAAGTTATCTTGGGATTACAAACCAAAGACATTAAATGTCACAGTAATCCTCCAAACAGTATTTTGCCAAGTTGATTTGGCTGAAAGGGACTTATTTTTGTTAGATGCCCTTGAAATCTGGGCTTCAACAGAACTCTGCCACATTGGCTTTATTGCTTACTGGGAAAAACTGATGAACAATTCCATTTCATTTAGGAGATAAAAAGATAAACCTTGCCGGGCGGTGGTGGCGCACGCCTTTAATCCCAGCACTCGGGAGGCAGAGGCAGGCGGATCTTTGTGAGTTCGAGGCTAGCCTGGTCTAGAGAGTGAGATCCAGGAAAGGCGTAAAGCTACACAGAGAAACCCTGTCTCGAAAAACAAAAAACAAAAAACAAAAAAAAAAAAGATAAACCTTTAAATTTGCTTAATATAAGCTGTGTGACTTTGAGCAACTTACTTAATGTCCTTTATCTTCTGTTTCCTTCTCTAAAGACACCACATAAGGTAATAACTGTCTGTGAAGGATATCTATCTATCTATAATCTATCTATCATCTATCACCTACCTATCTATCATCATCTATCTATCATGTTACTATCTATCTATCATATAACTACCTATCATCTATCACCTATCTGTCATCTATCTATATATATCATCTATCTATCTATCATCTACCTATTTGTTTATCATCTAACATCTGTCTATCATCAATGGCCTATCAATCAATCTATCTATCATCTACCTATCATCTATTTATCACCTATCTATGATCTATCTTCCTATTTATCATCTGTCTACCTATCTATCATCATCAATCTATCATCCATCCAGCTAGCTAGATATTATCATCATCATTATCTATCATCTATCTATCTAACTACCATCATCTATCATCTATCTATTGATCTGTCTATCTGAAACAAAAAAGTTTCAATTTTATTAGAAATAAAAAAATGCAAATTTAAGCCCCTGCTTGTTTACCCAGTAGACAAAAGTCTTACCATAAAATACATAGTCAGGCCGGGTGGTGGTGGTGGTGGTGGCGCACGCCTTTAATCCCAGCACTCAGGAGGCAGAGGCAGGTGGATCTTTGTAAGTTCGAGGCCAGTCTGGTCTACAGAGCAAGATCCAGGAAAGGCGCAAAGCTACACAGAGAAACCCTGTCTCGAAAAACCGGAAAAAAAAAATACATAGTCAGGTCTTGTATAATTTTAACATTTGACATTTTATATTTAGGAAAAAATCCTGGAGAAATGGGCAGTATTGTGCTCCACTTTTTTGTATCTAGGAAATACTATGATTTTCTTCCTTAAGGATGATTATGCAATTTGTAGCATATTTTAATCAGAACTTCTTGACCAGTTTTGAGTTTTGAGTTTCTGTCACTGGGGACTGCAGCAGGAAGCTTTTCTGAACAGGCCTGATGACAGCTCTAACCTGTGGGCACAAACATAGTTATTCAGTTGTTGACAGACTTACCACATCGGTGTTGCAAAACAACTGCAGAGCCTGTGGGAGGACCTATGAGTTCCCAGCCGTGACTTTTGCCTGGATTTACAGTATCAGATCTAAATTCCCTCCTTTGCAGGAGGCATCAGATCAGAGCCTATGAACAACCTGGTGAGTCTCATCAGGTAAGTCTTGAAAGTAGAGAGGGGAAGCTGGGAGGAGGAGGGGAGCAGGGTTAGAAGGCGTGTGAGGGGAACAGGAAAGGGTTATGGGGGTATGACTACGATGGAAACAAATGCATAGTGTACAAGTATGGAAATGTCATGATGGAGCCCATTATTATGTATAATTCATATATGTTAAGAGAATCTTTTTTTGTTCTGTTTTGTTTTTCGAGACAGGGTTTCTCTGTTCCATAACAGTCCCGGCTGTTATGGAACTCTCTCTGTAGACCAGGCTGACCTTGAACTCATAGAGATCTGCCTGCCTCTGCCTCTCAAGTGCTAGGATTAAAGGTAAGCACCACCATCACCTGCCAAGAAAAACATTTTTAAAAACCTGCTTATATTCTTCACCTGAACTAAAACC